AGTTCAGAAAATCTTATTGAATGCAAAATGTATGCCTAAAAGATTTAGAACTGCTAAAATATATATATACTGTTGTGGCTCTTAACAGTGTTTGCATTTTACTAGGGTAAACAGCTTTTCTCTTCCTCCTCTTCTTCCTCCCCCTCCTCCTCTTCCTGTTTGGTTTCTTTTTACTGCAGATGGAAACCAGAGCCTCTTGCATGCCAGGCCAGCACCCTACCCTGGTACAGCTCGGTGCCCAAGTGTCCTCCCATATTTAAATCTCACACTGTCAGAATACCTTTGCTGCCTTCCCTTTTAAATAAAGCTTCAGTTTTTAAGTTTTTTCTTTCCCAGTAAGGGCCTTTGGCATGCTGCGGAGGGCTTTCTCACGCTCCGTCTTCAGGTACATCTCCATCCTAGAGCAGTTTTAAATTCACAGGGGAAAAAGTAAATGGAAAGTACAGAGTTCGTGGATGCCCCAGTATGCACGGCACGGCCTCCCCCACGAGCAACTCTGATGCTCCGAATTTGTTCAAGGTGATGAACTCGCCATAACATACATTATCAAAGTCTAAAACTTTACGTGCACAATATGCGTTCTATGAATTTCAATGTACAGTGCCACGTTACACCATCATAGTGCCTCGTGGAAGCTTTCCCTGCCCTCAAACCCCTGTGCCCCACCCAGTCATCCCTGCTCTCTTCCCCTGGAGCCCCTCAAATCTGCACCCCCTTTCGGGTGTTCTTTCTGCCCCTTGTCCTCTTGCCTCGTCTCCCTTTTTCCGCTCCGTCTGGCAGTCTCATTATGTACACGTGGGTCGACCTGGAAGGGTCCACACATTTTTCTTCCGTTTGGTTTTCCTGACTGAATGGCTTCAATAGTTTTATATTCGAGTTTGCTGACATTTTTCCTTTTTTTGTTTTTGTTGTTATTGTTTTATTTTTTTTGTTTTTTGAGACAGGATCTCAGTCTGGCCTTGAACTATGTGGCCCCGGCTGGCCCAACTTGTTATGATCCTCCTGCCTCAGTTTCCCAAGTACTAGAATTACAGGTGTGCACCACTACGCCCAGGTTTTTCTTCTCTTTTCTTTCTTTTTTTATTTTTTATTTTGCTGGCCTGTTAAATTTTTCACAAATGCCAGGCATATAAGTACTGGAATGCAGTAACCTAATCAGGTCCCACACCTGTACTCAGGAGTTTGCTGCGGTGGTTATCAGAGGCTGCTGTTTTTTTGGTGGCCTTTAGAAGCTACTTTTGCAGAGTTTGTATTATTTGTATGTGTGGCCACCAAAGGCTGTCTCACTGGCTCGTGGTCAGCTGGTGTTTTCACAGAGTTTCTTTAAATGCCTAAACCCATCCCCCGCATGCCGTGAAAAGGAAAGAGGAAAGCAAAGGCTCTCCCAGGCTTTACAAATTGCCTGTGGGTTAGGGACCCTTTCAACACTTAGGTTGCTTATAATCCGGCTTTAGCTCTCTCTTCCTGAAGGCTTGCAGCCAAAGTTCAGCTACAGGTGAAGGTTTAGGGTCTCGTGGGCTTTTATGAGCATGTAGCCTGCCATAGGTATGCAGACAGCCTGCTTGATTCTCTGGTAAATGCAGGAAATTTTTAAAAAAATAATAAAACATCTCATTTCATCTTTTTTTTTTTTTCCAGTGCTAGGGATTGTGCCTCAGGTCCTGGGGATTCTTCATGCTAGATAAGCGATCTATCCTCAAACACATCCCCGGCCCAGGAGCTTTTTCAAATCCCTTACTCCCCATATTTCCTTTCCTAAATTCTTCCTTCCAGGAATGTTTGATCTTTCTATGGCTTGTCAGACTGCTGCAGCAATACTCGAGCTCTCCCTTGCTTTCCATAAAAGTGAAAGCTCAGATGGCCTGTGCTCTGCTTCCTTAGGGAGTCCGCAAGTCCAAGTAGGAGCCAGTGGGTCTTCGGGGACAAACCTGCGAGGTTCCCTCTGGCACTAGTGACTTGCACTGAGTTCACCCTGCCAGCCTAAAAGCCACCAGTGAGCTAGACGATGGCATGTGGAGAATGGCACAGCCCTCAGTGCCACAGTAGTTACCTTTTCTTTTTTTTCTGCCTCAGGGTTTTGCTGTAGTTCAGATTAGTTTTGAACTCAAAACTGTGGTGCCCAGGCTGCCCGCAAACTTGCAGTGATTCTTCTGCCGCAGCCTTCCAGTCCTGGGATTACAGGTGTGTGCTGCGTGCCTGATTTTGAGCGGTGCCTTTCATTATGCCTTGGAATGGTTGTTGCAGGGTCGTGGCCCGATTCTAGAGTTCCACAAGACGCCTGTGCCAGCTTTTTGCCAGTTACTTATGCGGAGGATGAAGCCCTGAATCTCTCTGCCAATTTTGTTGATGTTCCTCTTAAATTCTTTACATTTCTGTTTTTCATTTTTACTTTCTTTGAGTATATTTATAACGTTCATCTTAATCTCTTTCAGGCATTGTTTTTAAGAATCTATCAGCCTCATTCATGCACGTGTTAAAAAGATACAAGCAAGCCTCAGCCTCCCGAGTGCTGGGACTACAGGCCCATGCCCCCGCACCCGGATTGCACATTTTTGGAAATAAATGTGTAGTGTACGTGTATGCTATCATGACACAAAGCACAAAAATAAGGCACGGGTGAAACGCCTAAGGACGAAGGGAAACGATCCAGTCTGACAGCTGAGAACCGTGACCGTAAGAGGGCGCTAAAGTGAGCCCAGTTTATCCTTTCCGGAAACTTCTGTTCTTATGTAAATTCAGTCAGAGCTCCGCAGGTTTGCAACGTTCAATTTAGAGCAGACTGAGGCGTGCCACGGGCTCCCAAAACACTGCGCCCTGGCGACTCCGCCTGGACGCCGACTGGCCTTCCCGCGCCCAGAGCGCGCAGCGCGGTGAACGGCCCCGGCGCGCCCGGCCTCGGGCCTCCTGCACCCTGAGGGTGACCACCGGGCCACGGCGGCAGCGCAGGGGACGCGAGGCTCCGCGAGTGCTTCCTGACTCGCGGCACTCCTGGCGGGTCCCGAGACCTCCGGAGCGCCCAGCATCTCCGCGGCGCCCGGCCAGCTGGCCTGTCCGCGGCGTTTCGGTGTCGGTTTTAATAAACAGACATATTACTATAACTGAGCTCTGTTATCAGAAACAGTGATCCTCTCATTGCAGATAGCCTCACACTTGTCTTCATGAGGACATGGTCAACTCCATAAAAGCCATTTCATGGCCCTAACTGGTTAGAGACAGCCTTAATAGTGTTTCTGTGGCTTTCTAAACAGTCTGAAACCCCCGAACTACGCGGGGGAGGCTAAGGATCAAGTCCTGCCTGGGCAGTTTATGGAGACCTTGTTTAAAAAGGAGGGGGTGGGGCGGGGTAACTTGTGAGGCCCCCGGTTTCAGCTTCCAGGAGCACACACACACACACACACACACACACACACACACACACACACGCTCGTGCGCGTGCAGGAATCAATGTCCTAGGCCCTTTCTCTGAATAAGGCCCCAGATGCATTCCCGGCTTTTATGCTTAGTAGGTGGGTAGCGAAGTGTAGCATCAACACCAGCACTGACAATCCCACAGCGCGTTAGGAATCACCTGTGGATGTGACCGCAGAACCTGCTGCAGCGTGGGGAGTGCCTGATGTTCAAACCCGAAAAGCTAAGTGAAGACCTGCGAGATGGCGGCCAGGTCGAACCGGGGCAGATTTAAAACATGGACTTGACCACACCGAGGCCTGCCCCAATTTACAGGAAGCCTGACCAACAACGTCTGCCCTTGCGCAGCTTTGTTTTGTTCTGTTTTGACAGTCTTGCTGTGTTGCACAGGCGGTGGCCTTGATCCGGGCTCGGGGTGGAGACTTCTTGCCTTGGCCTGGGAGCAGCTGGGATTTAAAGTTCAAGCCACTGCACCTGGCTTTTATATCTTTTCATATAATCATTTTACATTTGCATTTACATTTACTGCCCTATTTTAGCTACTGGTGTAAATTTTATCTTTCTTCTGAAAAAGAACCGATTACTTCCAAATGAACGGCACCTCTTTGTAGAATATTAAACAGGAAAAAAAGGGCAGGAACTAGAAAGCTGGCTCAAGGGCAACACCACCACCAGGTGGCACTGCTTTCTTCAGTGGGTCTGGAAGGACCGCCAGCGCCTGGCGAGCCTCGCTGGGAGCGTGCAGGGCTGGTGGCTCTCGTGAAAGGAGGCTGCGTCCCTGCGCGCTAGGGTGGGCCGCGTCTAGGGTGACTGCCGGTGTAGACGTAGTATAGTGACCACCACTGCCCCCACCGGGTCCGGTCTTAGCTAGCAGGTCTGCCTACTATCTTAGCCGGACGCATCAGCTGCGTTGCCAAGCCTCAACCTCCCCCAGGCCACCTGGGCCCCGGGACCCTCGAGACGAGGAGCTATAGTCGGGCGCGCTCAGGACCGACGTGTGGGTTGCGAGGCGCTCGCCGCCGCGCCATCGCTGCCGACAAGAGCTGCGGAAAGCAGTGCCAGGACGCGGCTGTGGCTGCAGGTCATTCCTGCGACCGGACCCTCGGACCGCTTCGGCATCTGGGCCCGCGGCGGAGGCTCCCGGCTGGGGTCGCGAGGCCCGGGGAGCCCCGCCCTCCCGAGTTCTCGCTCCTCTTTGGCACCCGGAGGCGCCCGGGACGCCAAGTCCTGGTTTTGATTTCACTCCCGGCACGGAGGAACCAGGACGCTCCAAAGCCACAAACAGGAAGGAGGGAAGGCCCCCGAGAGCGGGCAAAGGGAGGGTCATTCCCAGCAGCACGGGCCGGGCCGGGGGCGGGCAGGTCGCGCGCGCCCTCCCCTCCCGCGCCGGCGGAGGGTGGTCCCGGGCCGCGGGGGGCTCGCGGGAAGGCCCGGCGAGCGGTGCGCCCGGGAAGGGGCGGGCGGGGGCCGGCTCCGGGACGGGGCGGAGGCTCCCGGGGCGCTGCGGTCCCCCGCCCCCCAGCCCCGGGGCGCCCCCGCGGTGCCGGAGCCGGGGCGGGGCGTGCGCGTCAGCCCAGGCTAGAAAAGGCGGCGGGGCCCGGCCCGGCCCCGCGAGGTGACAGCGCACTTGGACGGAGTCGGGCCCTACGCCATGAGCGCCGCGCTCTTCAGCCTGGACGGCCCCGCGCGCGGCGCGCCCTGGCCTGCGGAGCCCGCGCCCTTCTACGAGCTAGGCCGGGCGGGCAAGCCGGGCCGGGGAGCCGAGCCGGGAAGCCTGGGGGAGCCGGGCGCCCCCGCCCCTGCCATGTACGACGACGAGAGCGCCATTGACTTCAGCGCGTACATCGACTCCATCGCCGCTGTGCCCACTCTGGAGCTGTGCCACGACGAGCTCTTCGCCGACCTCTTCAACAGCAACCACAAGGCGGGCGGCGCGGGCAGTGCGGGCGGCCTGGAGCTGCTCCCCGGCGGCCCCGCGCGACACCCCGGCCCCGCCGCCCAGCGCCCGCTCAAGCGCGAGCCAGACTGGGGCGACAGCGACGCGCCCGGCTCGCTGCTTCCCGCGCAGGTGGCCGCGTGCGCGCAGACCGTGGTGAGCCTGGCGGCCGCCTCTCAACCCACACCACCCACGTCTCCGGAGCCACCGCGGAGCAGCCCGGGGCCGAGTCCCGCGCCCAGCACCGCGCGGGAGAAGGGCTCCGGCAAGAGGGGCCCGGACCGCGGCAGCCCGGAGTACCGGCAGCGGCGCGAGCGCAACAACATCGCCGTGCGCAAAAGTCGCGACAAGGCCAAGCGGCGCAACCAGGAGATGCAGCAGAAGCTGGTGGAGCTGTCGGCCGAGAACGAAAAGCTGCACCAGCGCGTGGAGCAGCTCACGCGGGACCTGGCCGGCCTCCGGCAGTTCTTTAAGCAGCTGCCCAGCCAGCCCTTCCTGCCCTCCGCCGGTGCCGCCGACTGCCGGTAACCGCGGCCCGGGCCGGGAGAGACTCTCACCAACGACCGATACCTCAGCCCGACGGCCCGGAGCGCGAGAGCCGCCCGGCGCCGGCTGCAATTTCTTTGGGACGAGTGAGCGCAAGGAAGCTACAACCTGGACTTAACGCCACTGAACCGCGAGAGAAGCTATACGTGTTTATTTTCCCTTAAATTATTTTTATAATGGTAGCTTTTTCTACATTTTACTCCTGTGGTGCAGCTAAGGTACATTTGTTTAAAAAAGAAAGACTTTCCAGACAAACTCTTTGTATTGCAGATAGGTTTTTAAAAGACTGAGCATGCTCACGTTTTTATATTAATTTTTACAGTATTTGTAAGAATAAAGCATTTAAACTCGCCCCTGCTTCCTGTATTCGCAGTGACTCGTACACCGGCGCCAGGACCTCGCCTGAGACGGGCGTGTGCCAGCACCTTGTGGGCGGTGCGCACCTGGAGCCGCCGGACCAGGTGTGTGCCCCGGTGGGTACCGGCCTCTAGGAGGTCTAAAGCGCGCCAGTGGCCACCTCCACAGATTTGGCTTGGCGAAGGTTGCTGAAGCCTGTCTGGGCAACGTAGTTACTCTAGCAGTTTTCCAGCGGAAAGTGCTCCCCACAGCATGCCGATGTGATTGCGCAGCTGGTGCATTTGGGGAACCTGCTGAGAACACCCCACGAGCTCCCTACCCTTAGACGGCTGTTTTGGGGTAAGAGGGTAAAGGACGGCTCCAGTGATCTAGTCCTGTCTTCCCCTTGCGCTTTCATGGGATTCTGCTTTCACTTTTTCGCCTCTCAGACAAGGAATAGATTTTCCAAGTGTTTGTAAGGACAGAGTGTTCGTGTAGATGGAAAAGACAACCCAGCGCCACTTAGAACTAGCTGTCTTGCCAGCAGTAGTTTTTCTAGGCTTACTCCAAACAAAACTATTTGGCTTTTCCTTAAGAAAACTAGGTAATGGGCACCTTTTCTTAGTCTTGGCAGCTAAGTGTATCTTGTGCAATTAATTAACCATGACTGTCATTATGTTGCTGTAAGGAAAAAAAATTTATGTTCAAAGAGAATTGATTTGTAACTTAAATCTCTGCCAGCAAAAGCAAATGACCACTGAGTGCTGTACCTCTGTGTAATCTTTGTTCTGTCTGCACTAACTAAACAACCATCAAACAGCAGTAAAAGAGAGCTCCTTGTATCTCTGTGACAGATCCCCCATCACACTGGTTAGATTTTGTGTACTTAGGGTAACAATTTTACCTTTGATACAGTTCACCAGCACATTTTCCCCCAAAATATTGAAATACAAAATGTTTAACTCAGACATTTATTTATTGTACCATTCCACAAAATGGGACCTAAAATTTTAAGTTTTCCAGAGTATTCTTGGGGAGGGGTTAAAACAAATACAAGGAAAAGATGAATCATGGTAAATAATTAAATACTTTACAACTGCAACATAATTCTTTCAGACAGATGATTACTGCCTAAGATAAATACAAAATAAGACTCCAGGCTGAGCTGACCTTTAGAAACATGTTCTTCAATTTTATGAATTTTATAGAAAGGTAATGAAAAATAGGAAACATTTTAATTTAGAATTTACAAAACTATCTTAAATTTGCCCTCAGGAAAGCTTAAACTTTTATTTTGAGATCATAAAATCTATTTGCTCTGTCCATAGTTAACAAATAACTACCTGAACAGCCCCCACCCTTGCAAAGTTCACAGATCCACCGGCCACGGCAGGCGTTCCTCAGGAGCTGCTCCTGCGCTCAGAAGCTCGATTTCCTCCAATCCAATGCAGCTGGTTGGGTGGGTGGTTATGGACTGGACAAAACAACTTAACAACCCCACCTCCTTCCCGAGGACACTCTTCACTTCGTAACTCTGCAGCGATAAAGGCATGCTGGTTAAAGCAAATAAAGCTAGCCCTGGACATTCTGTTCCCTGCAACAGAACAGGACAGGCCACGGCAGAGGCCCTTTCCCTGGACTCTGACCTCCCCTGCTCCAATGGTGAGGTGGTTTTTTTTTGGGGGGGGGGGTGTGGGTGCAGAGGTGATAAAGTGCTGCCTATAAAAGCCCCCTTTACTAGAGCAAATAATCCTGTATTCTGGTATCTGAAGTAAGTATCATGTGAAATACCAATATTTTAGTGGATGTCACGATGAGCTGATCTAGGAAAAGAACTGGGGACAAGACGTGTGAAGGCACTGCCTGTTTTCCAGCTGGGCGGGCTGGGGCCGGTGTGCGGCTCACAGCTGTCTCCCACTTCCTTTCGGACACTTCTCCAATCTAGCAATACTTCCTGTCAAAGGATTTCCTGGTACTTTGCCCCAAACTTCCCTCTTCAGGAGGATCTCATTTGTTCTGTGGGCTAAATGCTTCTTTCTGTGCTGAAGTAATAAGACTAAGCTTTTTCTTAACCTTGGGCACGTTTCACCTCTAAATGAGAACGCAGGCGCTCAGCGGCTCGGTTCCCATCCGCGCCAAGGCTCCCCCTCCGACGTGGCCTCTCCACAGCAAATCCTACAGCATTTGTGTTGGAGGTGGGGTCTGAAAGTAAGAGCTCAAACTTGGGATAAATGACAGCTCTGGCCTCCGGGGAGCCTGAAGCCCAAGGTGTGGACACACCACACGCATCTCTGCAGCATTCTGCATGGCATATTTTCTCGCTGGCCCCTCTGTCATTAATGTGTCATGCCAAGGACCTGGAAGCTGGAGAAGTGAGATGATGTGGCCAAAGCAGTTGATGACTCCTTGTGTCCTTTTCATACAAAAGGGTCTCACTGCCCTCACTGAGTCTGGGCTGGCCTCAGTGATTAACTCTTGCAGAACAAGGTGCAACAAAACAGACACAAATAATGTCCCAAGCTTGGTTAGGAAAGATGCCAGGGTTCTGATGGCTCTCTGCACTCAGACGAGGGCCATGAGGGAGTTCAGTCAGAGCCCCAGCTGGGGACTGAAGGGAGCTTCTGTGAGCTCAGCCCTCCCTCGGGGCACTAACTGATGTCCAGTGGAGCAGAGATGGGCTGTCCTGCTGGAGTCCTGCCTGAATTGCTGGCGTATAAGCAGAATAAATGTAGAAACCACTGTTTTGAGATGATTGGTTTTGCAGCAATAAGCATAAGGGGTCAGTGTGGGTGTGAACATGACTGTGATGCCAACTCACTTCCTCACCTGTTACACTGTTTCATCTTCCCACCTGTTCCCAGGCCTGGTGTGAAACGCCTGGCTTACTTACGGTGATTTGTAAGGATCTCTGTCTTCTTTGGTTAAAAAAAAAAAAATACAATCTCAAATGGGTACTTAATGGAGAAGGTGAGAGTGAGGGCTGCTGGTCAAGGCAGGAGGAGACACGGACAGCAGAGACGAGGCCTCCTGCACGTGCATTGTGGCCCAGATGGTGCGTCCACGGCCCTCATCCCTGCTCGGTTTGCAACAAGCCCACGTGCCTGACCCTGAAGAGAAGGCAGTGCACAGGACAGCCCTGAGGCTGCCGCGCTGGAGGACGGTACCAGTCTGTAGAATACGGGGTCACCGTTCCCTTCTGGGAGGACACAGGAAAGCTGAACAGTTCTTCAATGTCTCTTACTCTTTTAGCTAACCTTGCATGTTGTGTGAGCATGAAGATTGGCCTCGGCACTGCTATGCTACTCTGAGGTAAAACTATAGGAACTTTGACTTCAAAAACAAGTCATTCAAAAAAAAAAAGTCCCAAGCCACATGTGGTAGCACCTTCTTGTGGGAGGCCGAGGCAAGAGGTTTAAGCCGGAGAATTTCAAATTCAAGCCCGTCTCTGGCAATGTAGTGAGTCTCAAAATTTAAAAATAGGCTAGAGAGATAACCCAAGAAAAAGATTCTGGTTTCAATTCCCAGTATGGGGCGGGGGGGCTACTTACAGTGCTAGGTTTGGCTCCACTGCCTGTAAGTTGAGTTGAAATTGTACATCTTTTATATTTGGGGAAAATTAAGATTGTAAGGTTACAACTGTGCCAGCAAATTCACATGCACTATTCATATGAATATGTATCTGCAGATACATGAGATACGTGTCTATCTGTAAAACCTGCACTGTACACAGATCCTTACTTTTTTTCCTGAAAGGGGACAAACTATAAATTCCAGACCACTATAACGGTACCACTGAGAAGTGATACGATAGCCAATCCTTTTGTTTTTACATCTGCAGCTTGACCACAACAGTGAAGGTATATATCTTAAGACTCATGCACACTAACCAGAAGCAGTGTGTCTGCTCCAGGGAATGGTTCTTGTGGAAAGTCCTAATTTGATTCTGTTGGATTTTGGTAAATGTGTATTCTCATCCCCCAGAACTCACAGAATCCAGACTGGTAAATTGCTCTTTATGTCTACGCACAAACCTTTTGATAGCTATCTTCTCTCGGGTCCTCTTCAAAGTAGATGCAAAGCTCTGATTAGCCATGGCAAGGACAGTTAGGAGAGGGTAAGGTGTTCCCTAAAACATGTCCCTCTAGGTGTGGAACGTGCTCTCAATCCAGGGGGGTGGGCTCTGAGACCACAGCACTCGCAAAGATGACTCCTGGGTCTATGACACCCTAGCCCCTCACATAGCACATATATGTATGTACACGGATACACACAGGCATGTGTGCACATGCATGCCAGACACGTGCACTTACATTCACACGATTCATGCACTTCCTCTTGAGCTCTTTATAAGCGGGGCTTTACCTCTAGTAACATTTTAATTGAGAAGTGAAATGTGTGAGAGGAACAAGGCATCTCAGTCAGTGGGAAATCACAGGGAGGTGGCAGGGTCTGCTCTAGGTCTCTAAGAGAGGGTTGGGATCAGCAGGCCACACTGCGCATCATCCACCACTTCAGGCTTCTGGAGAAAGCACCGGCCTGCCTTCCTGAGCACTGCAGGGACCGGAGGGTCACCAGCCTGCAGGGCCTAGCTGTCACCTGGAGACTGCAGCTGTGTGCCACACCAAGGGGTGCTCGGTTATTGGTTTGTCTAGATGTGGGGTTTGTTTTATTATTTGTTTTTTTCTGAGACAGGGTTTTGCTATGTAGTGCACACTGGCCTGGCCCTCACTACATAGCCCAGGCTGCCTCAAACTCACAGTCCTCCTGCCTCAGCCTCTCAAGTACTGAGACAACAGGCATGTGCCACCACGTCCAGCTTAGGCAGGGGTTTGAATTTATGAGTTCTCAAGCAAGAGTGTTTCTAGCACTTTTTCTCAACATTCTCAAGAGATTTGTTCCCTGAAATCCCTTTTTACCATCTGTAGCATTTGCTCAATGCCTGTTGCCCATCTTAGAAACCTCCAACCTATCAACCTTGGGTGGTCAAAAGGCAGGAAAGGAGACAAGGAATCAGCCAACAAGCATGGCTGTCTCATCACTTATGCAACATGGAAACTCCTGTAAATTCTCGTCATGAGTTCCCATCTGGACCACAAACTCTGCCAGAAGATCACTTCTGTGGGCCTTTGTGAGATGCCCTTGCAGTGAGCCTCATGCTCCGCAATGGCGGAAGGTGGATCCTGCCCCCCAGGATGGCAGGGAGTCTGAACAGGGACGCATGTGAGGAGAGTGGTGAGTGTAGTGCTTAGCCTGTGGTGAATGCTGACTTTTGCACAACCAGGAAAGACTTGCATATGCACCCTTCTACAGCCTGGCCTAGGCTTCAGTCCCTATTTGTGCAGCAGCGGCACACAGCTCAGGTAAAGGCGCCAAGCTGGAGTACAGGGTCCCTGAGGAGCTTTAAAGCTGGTGGGCTTAATCTTACAGGGACAGAAACTCTTCAGGGCTCTGAAAACCATGCTTCTGGGAAGCCAGGGCTGAGAAATGTGGCTGAGGCCAGGGATCTCAGAGATTCTGCCCATAGATCTATCCACATTCCAATTTAATCTCAAGTCTGATAGCCTTGGCCTACATGAAAGAGGGTCAGCTGCTATTCTGTAAGAGAGGGCTGCAGTCCCACTGACTGCAGGGCTGGGGCAGGGGCTGGCCAGGGTTGGAGAGAGCAGACAGAGCCTTGAGCAGGGCCCCAGAGAATGGATAAGTCACCACATAATCTGATTGGAATGAGAGCTTGCTCATGGCCATGAGGAGAAGACGACTTCTGTTTAATGGGCCAGAGCTGGTCAGGGAATGATCAGCCTTACCTCTCCCCATGTCCAGGAGTCTGGCCCGAGTCAGCTCCTGGGAGGCAGACTCTGATACAGACGTCTCTCAGCCGAGCTCCGGCCCTGCTACCTGCAACTTGCTGCCCTTCTCCAGGTTTAGTAGTTTTATAATGTAAGCTGCCTGTAATGCTTTTAAATGATTCTAACAAGATAGGTGGCATCTTAAGGACAGAGGTTGCATTCATGAAGAAATTCACAATGCAGAAACTGCCTTTGTCCCATAAATTAAATACTTCAGGGACTGTTTTCTCAGAGGCGCACACTAGATTTACTAAGCTTTACTGCAGAAACTCAAGGCAGGCAAATGAGTGTGAGGAATTGTAGCAACATTTGCAATCACACAGGAACAAAAACTGAAATGTACCTCAGGCAATTCTGTACCATGACTATGAAGCCGGGCAGTGGGGCTCCAGTCTCCAGGCTGTGCTACCATAATCAAAGCCACAGGAACATTTTCCTGTGTCTACTGCAAGGTTGATCTGGAAATAATTTCCTTTCTATAGAGGAAAGGCTTTCACCAAACTAAGAGGGCATTTGTATCTATGTTTCAATATGGGAGCGACATGACACTTTGTGGTGGGATTTGCTGTAACTGCACATATGCGGCAGAGGGGCTCCTTCAGGGTCAGGTAGAGAATGCACACCTCGCTGGGCCCCTGACTTACCCCATCCTCGCAGGCAGCAAACCTCAGCAGTGAAGAAATGGTGCTCTGCAACAGCTGCAGTAACAGGGAAATGGGGCTGGGTCAGCCCTCACCAGGGCAGCGAGCGCTCCTGCTAAGTAACTCCCATCCTGGAAGTTAACCAGGAAGTCTAAACTGCCTATCTCCTCACCAGCGCTTCAGGCTTGAGTCTGGAGTAAATGGGGAGTGTGTTGGTACAGCGTCTCCCCCACCTTCGCAGAGGTGCTCTGGTCTGCCTGTGAGTCCCACCCAGGGAAGACCACACATGTGCCCTGGCTCCTACCTTGACCTTCACCCTGCACTGGGGCAGGGTGTGGCAGTCCAGAAAGACTTGCAGGTGCCTCTTGAGAACAGGAGATGTAACCACCCGGGAACAGTCGCCACAGGAAAAGGCGCCTCTGGGGTGTGCAGATGCATGGGGAGAGAAGCAAATGCACTGCAGGAGATCTGGTGCAGGCAGACACTTCTCTAACCACGTGTGTTTGCAGAGTGAGAAAGGAGAGTTTTGTTCTGAACCAAGTTCCTGAGATCAGCCAGGGACTGGGCCTGTTCTGAGGGATGAATGCTGGCTAAGGCGACAGAGAAGGGAGGCTTTCTGGGGACCCAGGCAGTCATAGAGGTATGCATCAATTACATGCCAAGTGGAGCAAGACTCCCAGGAAGTGAAGCAAGGCCCTCTGGGAGGATGGGAGGCCTGCTTAGCCACCGGGTCTTTGCACCCATGCTGCTTCCCACTGGATCTGCACACAGTTCAGTGATGACCTGGTACACATTAGGCTACTAACCCAAAGGTATCCAGAGGACATTTGTTCCTCACTTCTGAGGAAGCGAGCTGAATATGGTGATCATACCTGTAACCACAGCACATCGGGAGGCTGAGGCAGGAGGGTCACAAGTTTGAGCTTCACATGGGAAATTTAGTGATTTATCAAGATCTTGTCTCAAAATAAAAAATAAAATAGGATGGGCTTGGAGATGTAGTTCAGTTTAAAGACCCTGCTTCAATTCCAGTACTAAAAAAAAAGGGAGGAAATTAAAAAGCAGCAGGCAAACAATGAGTGTGCTCTTTCTGTCTGTCATAAGACAAAGTCCATTTGGGAAGTCAGGAAGCTAATTCCAAAGGAACGGACTGCATGGACACTCAGCCCTACTGTGACCTGGCGGACAGGAGGAGCTGGCAGAAATGTTAGGCAGGGAAGGGACAGCTCATTGGTAGCTGCTCACTGATCCCTAGACAAGTTTACACCACTGCACAGGAATACTGTGCAGGCACCATGTGTGTCTCACTATTTATATGTCCTCCCCACCCCCACCCCTGACTGATAATGAAGAAGCTGAGTGCAAAACCAGGAGGAGCTGCAAAAACATCAGAACTCCCTGTTAGAAAACCCATCAGCTCCATGGCTTCTTGCAGCATTTCAGCTAGGGCTGCCACCTGGGGAAGCCACCAGAGACAGCAAGGCTGTGGGACCGCAGGGCTGGCTTGCTGTCGTGCTCGTCAGGGCCCTGGGGCTTCAGGCCCATGTGAAGCTCACCTGTCTTCCAGCCTTTGTTCCAATCGCCCGTTGCCACAGTGGTCACACACAGGCCAGGAGAAAGCGGTGGTCTCATCCACACCAACCACAGTGCCTAGGGTGGAGGGAGAGGAAAGCCAGACCCTCAGAGGAGCTTTTGCCCAGGAGCTCAGATGACACGAAGGGCTTTAGAATTTTTATCCTCAGGGCTGGAGATTTAGCTCAGTGGCACCAGCACCTGCCTTGCAAGCACACAGTCATGAGTTCAATCCCCGGTACAAAAAAAAAAAAAAAAAAAAAAAAAAAAAAAAAAATTTTTTTTTACCCTCACTTGTGAGTTTACCTAAATGTTCCTGAGCTTTTTGTAATTTCCACTTATGGCAAATATAAAATCATGGCAATGAAAAGTAAGTTTTAAAATTTGTCTACACAATCACCAGATAGTCAAAGATCTTTTTGGCTTTGTTCTTGTTTTATGAGACAAGGTTTTTCTGCATAGCCCAGGCTGGCCTCAGATTGGAAATTCTCCTGCCTCAGCCTTCAAATGCTGGGGACCACCATTTCCAGCTTGGATTTTTTTTTTAAGTAATGAATTTTATTTAGGGAAGAATGACAGAATGGACATTTAGATAAATACAAACCAAGGAGATTTTCATTTTCTTTGAAAGATAAAATTCCTGACAAACTTAATAGATTGAGAATCAAAATATAAAAAAGCTGCATATATCTTATTCTTTACTTTTTATACCTATGAGGAACTTTGGAGTACACCAATTATTTGCTATAGCAAAGTCCTATTGGCAAGCATTTATTTGAAAATTTAACTTGAGTGTGGTAGTGCATGCCTATAAACTCAGCAACTTGGAAGGCTGATGCAGAAGGATGGCAAGTTTGAGGTCCGCCTGTGCCACTCAGTGAGGCCCTCTCTCAAAAATAAAATATAAAAAGGGGAGAGGATATACTCAGTAGTAGACCACCCTTGAGTCTGATCTCTAGTACTGTAAAACAAAATTCATCAATGAGATCTATGGTAATAGTTTATGCAGGTTTTCATATCCACATTCAGAATGCCTCAGACTGCTAATAACTGCATTGTTTTGGCATGGAGAGATAAATTATTTCCAAAGTTTGAAAACATTTTCAGCCTTTAGTGATCAGTGGAGCAGTCTGGACCTTAAGTAAGCAGAGTAGACATCAGGTACCTGTACCTGATCTTTCTTGCCTGTTCAGTGTCTATTTATCTATTTATTGATAGTGGTCCTGAGGACTGAATCCAGGGACTTGTGCATACTATGTAAGCACCCGACCACTGGGGTATATCCTTAGCTCCCTATTCCTTTTGGTACTGGAGATCAAATCCAGGGCCTTTGTACTGAGCTACCTATCCCCAAGACCATTTTAAATATTTTGAGACAAGGTTTCTCTGAGTTCCCCAGCTGGGATTCAAATCTTCGATCCTACTGTGTCAGTCTCCCACAGTCCTGGGATTACAGGCATGTGTCACTATGTCTAGCTTTATTCCCATTCTTGAAACAAAAGGTTACTACCTACTAGAATAAACATGAAGAAAAAAATTATCTGAATTATAAGAACTAGAAGGCTTGGTTTATTAAAATGCATTCATGCAATGCAGACTTGAAAAGACTGCTTAAAATGTAGAATAATAGGTCTTGATTTTGAAAAGGCTGCCTTAGATCATAATATTGTCCTTACAAATCTAATCAAAAGTGAGGATCAAAGGTATAAAATGTAAAGTCAATAAAGTCTTATAATGCATCTAGAAAGAGGTGTCAGCTGATTCATAATAGGCAGAAGCAGAAGGAGGCTCAGGGAGAACCAAGCAGCTGTGTCTCTGAACAACGCTGCGTCCCCCACGCCAGGCCTGCACACCAGCAGCAGGCTGGTTCATAGCAATGCCTGGAAAACAACTGCTAAATAAATTAATAAAAATAAGCTGGTACTAATTAAAGTTCCTTCTTACTCTGGATATTTGTGGGTGTTAACAGCACTTATATTTATATGGAATTAAGTAATTTCCTTTGAGTTAACGAATAAGGCAAGAGTTGAGGGAATATGGGCTCTCCAAACCACTGGGAATCATTCAGGGCAAGCTGAAATGAATTCAGAGGATGGCTGGGAAGTACACGATTAATCAGTTATTGCCAAGAACATTCACTTACATGAACATCAGAAAGAAAAAAAGCAACAGTTTTTGCCAGGTGACTCCACCCTCATTGGCCTGCCTTCCAGCTGCTTTTAAAAGCCTTTTTTCTGCTCGTCCTATGACAGAAATCTCTCACAATTAGCCCTTGCCCCCCTCAATTTGTAATGGAAGGAACTGGGGTCACAGTTCTTTTTCTTCTATCAAGAGGCTGAAACCTGGCTGGAGAGCAGCACTTTGCCACTCTTTCCCAGAGCCGTGTCGTAAGTGGACTCACTGTGTCCAGTCCCACAGCAGAACATACGGTGTCCAGCCACAGAGGAGGGGTGGATTAAGATGTGGGGAAAAAGACATGAGCAGTGTGAGGGAAGAAAAATCAGCACAGCAAAAATCAACGCACCTCAGAAGGTAACCCCGAAAGAAATGCGCACACACCGGGAGCTGAGTACCATGCAGATGACAAGAGGGGGAGTCCGCCGCCGGGAGTGCGCACCCCCCTCTCATGGAAGCTTCTTCTCCTAGGAGTGCTGCACACCTTCTGCTGCTTCTGTCCTCAGAACGGTCCAGGCTCTGCTGGAGCCCACTGCTGGAGCGCACTCACTAGTCAGCCTTCTGAGACTACATGTGCAGCTGACTCAGCCGCACCTGTGAGGTTCCCTGTTCTCAGCCTCACCTCCTGCAGGCATAAGAGAGCCCCACTGGAGACATGCTGGACACAGGTCAGCAGTGAGGCCTTCTGGGACAGCCAGGACAGACTGGGCAAGGAAGGGAGGAGAGACATCTCTCACTGTTATAGAACAGTGTGGACTTCAGCTTCCCGGTGGAGTTCCTTCTCGGGAGAGGACCCCTAGCTGGAGTCATCACTCCCAGGGTTGCATTGGAGGCGGCTTTTTATTTTTGTTTGTTTTTTAATCAATCACTGCTACTTCGTAGCTGGATCTTTGCTTTCCCTTTGTGCCCAGTCAACAGGTTCTTATTAGAGGATCCTGCAGCACTGAGTCCTGCTCTGATAATCGTCTGTTTATACAACTCATGTATCTACTCACAGACCTGCAGGGTAGGTCTGGAAGCAGAAGGGCGCTAGCTAAAAGTGGTAAAATGGGAGAAAAATCTTGAATTACATGAAAACCAAAAGAGCATTAGGAAAAGAATACATGAAGGTAAAATAAAATCTTACATATTTCAGGGGTGGCAAACATGTGCCTGTGATCCCAGTTACCTGGGGAGACTGAGCCAAGAGGATGACTTGAGCCCAGCAGTTCAAGGCCAGCCTGGGCAATGTATTTAGATGCATCACTTAAAAAAAAAAAACCCCAACAAAACAAAATCTTTTTTATGTTTCTTACTCTAAACAAGCTACTAGTGCTCTAATAACTTGATTATATAATAACAGTAATGTATTAAATGGTTTACCTTGCAGGCAAGTGAAGAAGTGAATGACAGTGATATCCTAAGAGACAAGAGAAGGAATCAGGAACACTCTTATAAGGTGTCTGCATTACCTGAGAAGTATGACAGTGCTGTTTGGAAGTGGACTTTCATTAGTCATAAATACAAATTGCAAACTCTAGGACACCACTAGAAACATTTAAAAATAAGCAGACTTGATACATTGAGAAAAGCAATCAGAGAATGTGAGCATTCTGAACATTAAGCAGAAGGCAGGAAGGCAAAGCCCCAGCTACAAAGTAGCACTGAGTAGAACATCAATTAAATTTAAAAAAGAAAGCCAGACAGACAGACAGACAGCCAGACAACCAGACAGACAGCCAGACAGAGACTCATGATGGTGCATGCCTGTGATCCTGGGAGGCTGAGGCAAAAGGTTGGCAAGTTTGAGTTTAACCTGGGTAACTGTGTCTTTTTTTTTGAGGCAAGACCCTGCCTCAAAAAAATAAAAAGGCTACAGGTGTAGGTCAGTGCAAAGGCCCTGAGCTCAAATCTCAGTATTGCAAAAACAAAAACTAAACATCCACTAAATTCAATTCACTGTGAAAACAATGATCCTGAATGTGTGATGTGTTTAACAACACAGCATCAAATCCATGAGGCAAATAGATGAAACACTGAGAAGACATAAATGAATTCACTATACAGTAAGAGGTTTCAGTACTCTTTATCAGCAGTGGACAACCTAGCAGGCAGAAAACTGGTCAAAGTACAGCTGAACTGACAGCATCATCAACCAATAGGATTTAACTGATATTATTGATTTCTCTGTTCAACAGCAGAATGTACATTCCTGTCATTATTTACTTAGAGTCAAGGTCTCTAAGTAAGTCTAGACCGGCCTCAAACTTGTGAACCCCCTGTCTTCGCAACAACACTTGAATATAGGCATGGCCACCACACCTGGCCAGAATGCACATTTTCCCTAAGTCACGCAGGGCACCCACCAAGAAGGACCACAGCCTGGGCCACGAAACAGATCCTTAAGCAATGTGAAAACAAGTTCCTAGACCACAAAGAAATTAAAACTAGAAATCAATAATACAAAGAGAGCTGGAAAGGCCCAAAACATGTGGAGATTAAATAACTCAAGAGTTCTCAAGAGAAATTAAAAAATATTTTGAACCAAATGAAAATAAAAATATATCAAAATTTGTATAGTATGCAGCAAAAGTGCAGTACCTGGAGGAAATCTACAGCATTAAATGCAAATGTAGGAAATACAGATCTAAAATAAATCATCTGGTTTTCATTTTAGGAAACAAGGCCAAGAATAAATTTAAATCAAATATGAAGAATAAAAGCAACAGCAAAAATTATAGCAGAAATCAAAGAAACTGTAAACAAAATTAATAGAGAAAATAAAAATCAGTAAATCCCAAATCTGGTTCTTTGAAAAAAATCAATAAAAACTGATAAACTTCAACTAGGTTAACCAAAAATAAAAAGGAAAAGATACAAATTAGTAATAGCAAAAATAAAAAGGCCATTATTACTGATTCCAC